TTCCTTCCTTCCTAAACCTTCCTTCCTTCCTTCCCCTTTCCCTTTCCCTTCCTTCTTCCTTCCTTCCTTCCTCCTTTCCCTTTCCCTTCCTTCCTACCTACCTTCCTTCCTTTTCCCTTCCTTCCCTTCCTTCCTTCCTTCCTTCCTTCCTACCTACCTACCTTCCTTCCTTTCTTTTCCCTTCCCTCCTTCCTTCCTTCCTTCCTTCCTTCCTTCTTCCATCCTTCCTTCCTCCTTCCTTTCCTACCTTCCTTCCCCCCTTCCTTCCTTCCTTCCTTCCTTCCTTCCTTCCTTCCTTCCCTACCTACCCTTCCTTCCTTCCTTCCTTCCCGTCCCTTCCTTCTTCCTTCCTTCCTTCCTTCCTTCCTTCCTTCCTTCCTTCCTTCCTTCCACCTACCTTCCTTCCTTCCTTCCTTCCCTCCTTCCTTCTTCCTTCCTTCCTTCCTTCCTTCCTTTTCCCTTTCCCTTTTTTCCTTCCTTTCCTTCCTTCCTCCTTCCTTCCTTCCTTCCTACCTACCTTCCTTCCTTCCTTCCTTCCTTCCTTCCTTCCTTCCTTCCTTCCCTCCTTCCTTCCTTCCTTCCTTCCTTCCTCCTCCTTCCCCCTTTCCCCTTCCTTCCCTCCTTTCCCCCCCCCCCCCCCTTTTTTCCTTTTTTTCCTTCCTTTCTTTCCTTCCCTTTCCCTTTCCCTTCCTTCCTCCTTCCTACCTCCCTTTCCTTTCCCTTTCCCTTCCCTTTCCCCCTTTCCCTTCCCTCCTTCCTTTTTCCCTTCCTTCCCCCCTTCCTTCCTCCTTCCCCCTTTCCCCTCCTTCCTTCCTTCCTCCTTCCTTCCTCCCTTCCTCCTTCCTTCCCCTTCACTTGCCCTCAGTGTACCTCCTGAACACATACTCACTGAGACGGGTTGGGGTAATCGGTTTTCAACCCAATCGTCTTTCAAACGTTTAAAAACCTGTATTTCAACTTTTAAACCCCCTTTCAAAAAATCTTTAATACCCACTTTCGGTTTAAAGTAGACTTTTCATTTAAAAACACCGAAAAATACAGGAACCAAAATAGCTTTTAAACGAGGTATATAAAATTCAAGGAGAGGGAGAAGAGGGCCTAGTAGCGTTTCATGAAGAGGCGGGGGCCCGGGGCTGAGTACGACCCCTGCAACCCCAATTGGTGAGTACTTCTCTGTATAACCGTGAAGTTAAAAAACATGGCAACTCTGATATCTTTATTGTAGTAAAACTTTGCCTCCAGGCTTTTTCAATACGATTTTAGGACATAATAGGAAGACGTAGAACAATACAAAAGATAGTAATCAGTCCCCGGGCCCTTGGGTTAGTGTTTACAGCATCGTGGTGGAGGAGATGCTGTGAACACTAAACCCAAAGGCCGAGGGACTGATTACCTCATCTTTTGTATATAGTTCTACTGTCTTCCTATTATGTCCTAGAATCTGTATTGATAAAGCCACTGGATGGCGAAACGTCTACTACAATAAAGATATCCAGATGTTGCACATGTGTCTTAACTTTCATATTGTCGGTATTTTATACCTTTCTTGCACTACCGTTGAGAGGTATGTATCTAGCAGGATATATACACTGTCTAACTTAATTCTTGTTATAATGGTCAAAAGTGTCCTTGATGTACAGGTGACATGTGGTCTTGTATACCAAAGTCTTTCCTGTGTTGTTTACATTTCCCTAGTTGCCACAAGGTGGGTAAAAGGGTGCATAATAAAGCAATTAGACCATCTAATTTCCACAGTCTCTGCATGATTGGAACATTAGCTATTTTCCTCTCCTCCTCTCTCTCTCTCCCATCTCTCCCCTCTCTCTCTCCTCTCTCTCTCTCTCTCCTCTCTCTCCCCTCTCTCTCTCTCTCTCTCTCTCTTTCTCTCTCTCACTTCCCCCTAGCGTTAAACACCAATTCTGAAATAGTAATCTCATTATTGGCATTTTACCTTTAATTCTATCTTCTCCTCTTTGCTGGCTTCCTCTTTCAGCTCCATCTTCCCCCCAAAGCATCAAATTTAATCCACCTAATTCCGTTGTTACACTTAGCGATCAGCTAGCGAGCCGCTTTCTTTGGCAACGCTTTCCCAATCGTCTTCTTTAGAAGCACCTTTGTTTTCCTTCTCTTCCGATTTCTCCTAATCTCCAAAAACACATAATCAACAGCAATGCAATTTTCAGTACGTCCCAGCCGTGTTCTCATCCAATAGTCTTCACGCCCAGGGCTGTACACAGGGTTAATTTAAGCTTAAAGAACAGTATCGTATGTCTTCCCGGCCTCCAGCACACACACATTACTGTTTCTAACTCTCTCTCTCTCTTAGTATTCTAGTATATGCATCTGCTTTATTGTATGTCTCATGCGAAGACCCGGTTGATGGAGCGGCTATTACAGATGCAACGATGGAAGTAACTAGTCATCGTAGTTCCAACGATAGCACCGACCTGTTATTGCATATACAACGATCAAGGCATAATTATCCCAGTCTCAGTGATAGCACCAACCGGCTATCGCATTCGGAGCGATAAAAGCAAACTGTTATCGCACTTTTACAACATCACTTATGGTAGTTCCAGCAGCCATGACTACCAGGGCTTTGAGTCACTCTCTCCTAGATAACCGAAGAATTTCACCATTTAAAGTGAACAAAGACAAGTTGTTACCAGATGGGCGAAAGGTGGCCACTACAAACGGTATATTGGGAGTGTCTCAGTGTACTCTGTTAGTACGTTTTCATATTATAAACTGCATACATTGCGGACAAGTTGATGGATTGATTTCATCAAACTTCCTCAGTATCCACCTCGTCTACTTGATCTTCAATCATGGTTGATGTGTCCAAGAGTGTGATTCATCTCCGTATTCGTTTGATGAAGATCTCTAATGTTGCATGCGGGTTGCTAATCAAGAGTGCATTGATGGCCTGTCAACTGCTTTTGGGTCATTAAGGCAGCAGTTCCAGTTAGCGTGTAAGCTGTGATTGCATCCAGCTTTTATATTCTCTAATATTCTCATGATCATCCTTGGAATTTCTGCTTAAAAATAAGGGAATTATCCCTTTTTCTAAATAATCGCGTCGCTCCAAAACTTGCCTCTCCAAAGTTTAATGCACTAATCCGTTCGTCAAGTTTTTTTTCTTTACCTTCTGGGAAGCAAGTTACTGCGTCGGTATTCCAGTTAGGTAGCGGCGCTACCGCCAGTCCAATCTCCGGAGCTCATATGACTGTCAGCAGTGTAAGAGATGTGTAATATTGATGCGCTAATTGAGGACCTTACGTAGATCGGGGCCCTGCATGCATATTGCTGGCATGAGGGTAGTTTGTTGCTGATAGCATTATGCTTCTGGTAGCAGCAGCATAATGCTACTACCAGTAGCAGCACCACCATCAGCACTGCCGCCACCACTAGCATTGTAGCAATTTTGCTAACTCTAGCATCAGTAGCACCGCCACCGGTAGCAGCACCTGCAGGACTACCACCAGAAGCAGCAGAACCATCAACACTACATCCCCTACCAGCAAAGTACCACCACCACTACCTCAAGCACCAGCATCAGCACCACCAGAACTACCACATGTAACAACACCATCAACACTACCTCTATCCTCACATCACCACACTGACGCATTACCTTACATAACAGTTTACTAACCACAATGTCTTATTCTAAACATGACCTCACTTCACTACGGTAATTATCCTCTTCTAAAAGTAGCTTCTGCGTGATTTCAATTAAAACTTCCGCTAACAAAGCTAGAAGAGCCGCGGCAGCTAACTTGCCACTAGCACGAAGCTTTAAAAATAAGAGAGGAAACAGCAATGCATTCAGCAGTGGCGCAATCTTAAACTAAGAAATAAACAGACACACACAAACAACCACGGTAATAATAGAAACAGCCAGGCCAATTACAACATAAATAGGAAGGGTAACCACGACATAAAACTGACAGCCACAGTAACCACAACATAAAACAGACAGCATAAGTAAAGACCCAATTTCATTCTGTGTCAGACGAAGCAGAAGACCCAAGTTCTCTGCTGAAATAAACCCTCGCACAAGGAACGTCTGGTTTAAGAGGATGACAGACAGCCTCTGCTCTCCTTCCCTGGACTCAGCTCAGCAGATAACAGCACAGGACACGAACTCAGAATTACCCGAGTGACGCCACAGAATTATCTGACGAGTGACGCAACAGAATTATCTGACAAGTGACGCCACAGAATTATCTGACGAATGACGCCATATAATTATCTGACGTGTGACGCCACAGAATTATCTGACGAGTGACGCAACAGAATTATCTGACAAGTGACGCCACAGAATTATCTGACGATGACGCACACAGACATTATCTGACGAGTGCGCACAGAATTATCTGAAAGTGACGCCACAATTATCTGCGAGTGTCCCACAGATACTAGGAAGTGACACCACAGAACAGGAGAAATGGGAATTCTTGGAGAGAAAACAGTCATGTAACTGTTACAGACAAATGATTTTTTTCCAGTTTGCTTCTCGTGTAGTTTTATTATGGAACTGATACGCTCACTTTATTTGCATTAGATGACTCAAGTCAAATTCTTCGTTATTATTAACTATCATGAAAGAGTTTCACTGTATGTTATAGTTAAATTACTGTATCTAACAGTTAGACTACTGTTTCTAACAGATTACTGTATCTAACAGCAAGATTACTGTATCTGACAGTTAAATTATTGTATCTAACAGTTAAATTACTGTATTTAACAGTTAGACTGCAAAGACAGCACGACAAGAAGTTAATTATACCTTCTTATCAAAACTGGTATATACGTTTGTCATCTAGGACCGGAGGAACTCTAACTGGAGTACAAATCCTCAACTTATGTTAGAGTTCGAGTACTCTCCTTTGAGTAGAGTGTGTCTTTGCACAAGTACTCACCTTGTGCTTGACCACAAGCACTAACGTTGTGCTTGAGTGCACGTACTCATATTGTGCTTGAGTACAAACACTCACCTTGGGCTGGAGTTCGTAATCAAGGGGGGCGGCCAGAGTGATGAGTCCAGAGCGCTGGTCGATAGTGAAGAGTCCATCTCTGTTGCCTCCAGTGATGCTGTACCTCACCGCCACACCTGTAACAACACACCTGCAGTCAGCCACACCTGTAACAACACACCTGCAGTCAGCCACACCCGTAACAACACATCTGTAGGCAACCACACCTGTAACAACACACCTGCAGTCAGCCACACCATTAACAACACAGCTGCAGTCAGCCACACCTGTCACAACACACCTGTAATCAGCCACACCTGTAACAGCACATCTGTAGCCAGCCACATCTGTAACAACACACCTGAGAGCAGCCACACCCGTAAAAACACGTCTGTAGACAGCCACACCTGTAACAACACACCTGCAGTCAGCAACACCTGTCACAGAATTCATTATAATGAGAATACCAGAGGTAATCTCGCCCTTACCCCACCGCCACCACATCTATGATCAAACACATGTTTTTACAAATACCTGTGTTTAGAAACACCTGTTTTAATGATTGTTATGCTGAGGATATTGTTTCAAAGTCAATAGAATCAAACATTTTTGAAGTTTTTTCTATGGAGGTTGTTTTTTGATGACGTAGATTTAGATATTTTGATGCTGTGGATCTAGATAATTTGATGAGTATTGATTTAGATATTTTGATGACGTGGGGGTTTGCAAATAGGAAAAATATCATGTGTACTCAACACGCTTAAAATTCACCCAACTGGAGTTAATATTAGAGGTTAATGTTAAAACCACGTTCAAAGTTCATCCGGGTGGAACTTAATGTTAGAAGCACGTTCTAATGAGTGATTACCGAGGATGAGGAAGGTCATCAGCACCACCACGAAAAAAATTTTTAAAAGAGGGAAATTTAACGGGAAAATTAAACAAATTAATTTGGATTCCCCTTTGAGTAAGGGGGGGTTTGTTTTTCCCTTTTAAAAAATTTTTTGGGGTGGGGATTTTTGGTCCCAAACAATTGGGTGGTTCGAAAAAAGGGGGGGGGCCCAAGGGATCCAAAGGCTCGGAAGACCCCTTTTTTGCCTAGGATTTTTAAGCAAGTAAAAAAGTGGTCAGCCCCTTAAAAAAACCCGCGTCCCCCCCTTTTAAAACATTTTAAACCCCAAACCTAAAAAAACCCCCGAAAGAAAATTAAAAAACGCGCGCCCCCAACCTGTAAAAAAACCGGGTTACCCCAAAAAATTTAAAACCCTTTAAAAACCCACCCTGAGACAAATTTAAAAAAGTTTTTCGCCACCCTGTAAAAACCCCTGGTAAAATTAAAAATTATAAAATTTAAACCCCCAATTTAATTTTAAAAAAAATTATAAAAAAAATTTTTTAAAATATTGTTTAGAAAAGGTTTTAATAAAATTTTTTAAAAATTTTTAAATAAAAAAAAAATTTTTAAATTTTTTTTGGGATTTTTTTTTAAAAAAATTTTAAATATTTTTTTCTTTTTTTAAAAATTTTGATATATTATTTAATATTTTATTTTTTTTAAAAATAAAAAATACATTTATAACATTAAAATTAATATTTAATTTATTAGATTTAATTTAAAAAAATTAAATTATGGGTTTAATTTAAACACCTGGGATTCCCGGGGGGGGAAAAAACCCCCCTTCCCAATAATTTTAAAAAAAAAAAGGTGTTTTATTTACGTACTTCAAAAAAACCCCCCTTAATCAGTTCCTCCATAAAATTTCCCCCCTTTTAATTTTAAAATTTTAAAATTTATAATATATAAAAATATATATAAAAAATATATATAATATAAAAAAAAAAAAGGAAAAACTAGGTTTTCAAGTAGAATTTCCCATTTTAGTTGGCATTAGGGGTCACTCGAGGCTTGAGTTCCTCCTAAAAAAAACCAAGGAAGCTTAAGGGGGACCGGGAAAAATTTTTTGTTTAACCCAAAAAAAACCCACTGCCTAAAAAACTTTAAGACGTCCCCCTTTGAGACACAAAAGAATTTTTAGAGAAGGTTAGTTGTTAAAAACTTGGCATTCTCTCCTTCATCATTTTTACACTGATGTTCCGGCATCAATTGAATTGTTGTAAAGTCATCAATCTCACATCTTTCACAGCCTCAAAAAATAAAAAAAACTAACTTACTTCTCGTGGTTGTCACACTTAAAATTTTCTCCTTTTGGGGGGAAACTTTACACACCAACACCTCCACCCCCAACATATTTATATATATTTATATATATATAATATAAATATAAATAATATATATATATATATAAAAATATATAAATATAAAAAAATGCAAGGGGAAATTTCCGAGAGCAGGGGAAATATCACAAACACTTTATCTCTGGCTGAAGGAGACCACCTGAACCAGGAAAGGGACGCAGTGCTTTACCAATCAAACCCCCCTGGACAAAATTTGGGGTTAGCATCGCACACGTTTGATCCAAGGGAGCCGCCAAATCTTATCGGCGATACATGCAGGGGATGAGATAAAAGCTGTAACTTCTCCGAAAATGGCTGCCTTGGATCAAAAAGTGTAGCGCTGCTACAGCCAAGGTATTGTTCAGTGGGTAGATTGGTAAAGCACTGGTACCTTGTCCCCAAGGTTCGTAGGTTCGAGTCTCCTTTACCCGAAATCAGTGTTTGTGTATATTTCGCCGCCCGCGAATTCCTTGCATTGTTCAAATCTCTAGTAAGGTGATGCATGCAGGGGATGAATGAAAAGCTGTAAACCTTCTCCCGAAAGCTGCTGCCTTGGACAACGTGTAGCGCATGCCACGCCCAAAGGGATTGCCCGTGTGGGAGATTGGTAAAACACTGCGTACCTTGCCAAGGGTTGTAGGGCGAGTCTCCTTCACCCGAAATCGTGTTTTTGGGATATTCGCTGCTTCCCCGAATTTTCCTTGCATTGTTCAAATCTCCATAAAGGGGGATGCATGAGGGAGAATAAAAGCTGTAACCCTTTTCCCTGAAAACTGCGCCTTGGATCAAAAATTTTGCGCATGCTACCGCCAAGGTATTGTCCAGTGTGGGGAGATTGGTAAAACACTGCGTACCCTTTTCCTAAGGGTTTGTAGGTTCGGTCTCCTTCAGCCAAATCAGTGTTTTGTATATTTAAAATTTGGGAATTCCCTTAAATTTTTAAATTATAAGGTGATCACAAATAAAAATAAAAAGCGGCTTTCCCTGAAAATCTCCTTATCAAAGTTGGAGTAACCCAAGGATTTTCCCAGTTGGGGAATTGTAAACACTGGGCCTTTCCCAAGGCAGGTTTATTTCCCCCCCCTTTTACCAAGAATTTTATTAATTATTTATTTTAAAAAAATTTTAAATTTATTAATTTAATAAAAATTTATATAAAAAATAATTATTGCAAAAAAACCCCCCCTTTTTAAAAAAAAATTCCAAGCTTTGTACTACTCAAAATTTATCAAGGAAGTTAAAATTTAAAAAAAAAAGGGGGGGAATGCGGGCTGGCAAATACTATCAGATCCCCCAAACGGGTTAAAAATTACGCCCCCAAGGAAGGCCCTTTGCACAACACCCCAATTTTAAAGAAAATTTTTTTAAAAAATTTTGCCATTTATATTAAAAACCTTAAAAAAATTTTAAAGGTTTTTATTAAGGAAAACATTTTTTGTAAAAACGGGGGGTTTTTTAAAAAAGTTTTCAAATATTTCCGCCCTTAAACCCCCGGCTACTTTTATTTTGAAAATTATTGGAGGTTAAAAATTCTTCTGTTTAGAGTTTGGTTTTTTCCAGTTTTTTAATGTATTATTTTTTTTGTTTTAAATTTATTAATTTTTAATTTACCTAATAAATTTATAAATTTTTAAAAAATTTATAAAAAAATAATTTTAAATTTTATAAAAAAGTTTTTTTATGAAATCAAGTTTTTGAAATTCAAATTTAATTTAAAAGTTAGAAAAACTATCCCAATTTTCGGTAAAAACCCCCAACAATTTTTTTTAAAAACCCCGGGCAGTTTTCCTTTGGGACTTGGTTTGTTTGGCCAACCCCTTTTAATCCTCCTTGGTGCTTTACTTTCCCCAGTTTCCTTGATAATTGATTTTCCAAAGCTTGGAAAATTTTTCTATTCTTTCAGAGTGGTTGTTTTGCATATCTGAAATCACCTGTTCACTGTGATCTTATTGCTATGTATATATATATATATATATATATACTTATATATAATATATATAATATATAATATATTTATATATATATATAATATATATATATATATATATATATATAAATATATATATATATATATTTTATATATAAATAAAGAGAGAGCAATCTCTGTATTTTCCAAATCCAGAACCCCAGTCTGGCTATCCGGGTTTTCCTGACTCTCACTCTCTTCAGAATAATCATCCTCACTATCAGCACCCAAACCCCACAGCTACTTGTCTTTTACCCTCTCACACCTTCCCAGATACTTGTTAGATACTCAAACTGCTACCTCTCAAAACCTCCCTCTCTCCTGGACGTACACAACACCTCCCTCCATCCACCCCAGATTTCAACCCCTTTTTATCTCCCTGTCTTGCCCCCATCTCTCCCTTACTTCCACCAATGTTTTTCACGTATCAACCATGTCACACAGCGGATGTGCTGTCACTTCCATCACTGTGGTGCCTCACAAGTGGTCATGTCCCTCAGAGTGCCTCTGTTGATGCTCACATCTTCTGATATCGCGACATTTGTCTTCAGGCAAACTTTCTTCTCGCAGATTCTTCTCCAGTTGTTTTTCCTGTTCCAGAAGATGAGCAGAGTTTTAGCTAAGAGAAATGTGCTCTTAGATTTGCTCTCGACCTTTAGTGTGTCTCTCTATCGCTGTCTCTTTCTCTTATTCTCTCTCTCTCTCTCTCTGACTTGTCTTCCCTTAGTGCTTTTGTTGTTGTCTCTTGCTTTCTGGTAGTGTTTATCTCTCCCTATTCCTTTGCATTTCTGTCTCTATATCTCGTGTCTCTCTACTCCTATAGTGTATATTTGTTTCTCTGTCTCTCTTCTTTCTCCATTTGCCGTGATTCTCTCTGTCTCTTGTGTCTCCGTCTTTCCGGTTGTGCCTGAGAGACTCCTAAGAGACTCCTGAGAG